GAGAGAGAGAGAGAGAGAGAGAGAGAGAGAGAGAGAGAGAGAGAGAGAGAGAGAGAGAACACCCAAATTTGCTCCACTCCACTCCATGATACAAACACTAATCATCCAGCCATGAGGGAAGAGCCCTCCCAGGCACCTGTCAATGGTCCCACCTTTTAACATCGTTAAAATGGCAGTGAAATTCAGCATGAGATTGGAAGGATATAAGCATTCAGTCTATAGCACATGTTGTCAGAGAACCAGAGGAACAGTCACTAACCTGAAGCCCCATTTGGAGTTCACAAAGTAATCTAAGAAACCAAGCTCTCTCGCCTGCACACCCAACCTGCACCCAGGTAAAGGAAAAGATTCTGAGAGCGGGGAAATTGTGGCTTCTAAGGAAGCTGTTCTTGCAATGTGCTAACTGCCTGCTGGGATCTGAAACCAATCTCCTGATGCTTCCAGCAGAGCCACTTTGTCAGCACAATCGTCAGCCAGGACGATGAGCTTGACCAAGAGCAAGAGGAAGACAGAGCTGCAGGAGGCCGGTATGTTCACGCATCACCAGGTCTGACCTCACACCTCTGAACGTAAAGGCTTCCACTTCACTTCCATTTTCCTGATCTCTTTTAGCCAACTGTACACCAAAACTCTGTAGAGATGGGAATTCTGGTATCAACCTACCATCAATCATCCACTTAAAACACAGCGGCTCAAACTGCTGGAGATTCTCTTTCGTTCAGTTTATCATCCTTAGCTATATCTCTCCCTGGCTCCCTGCACTGATTGAAGTGTAAATCACTCCCAAAGAAGGTTACTTTCTGAGAATGTAACTCACGCTTGCCTTACTTTCCTAACAATTTAAAGACAAACTAGGTTTATGTATTCATTTAAAATATATATTTATGTATCACTCAGAGTTTCCTCGTGATTTCTACATTTTCGTGATTTATCATAACTGAAGGTGTGGAAACAAACCTAATCCTTGTACCAGGAGATCTGGGTCTCTGTTTTTGCCATATTCACCGAGAGAGCTGGGAGATCTTGATTTTTTCTACATCAGTAGTCCTTTTTGAGTTAAGGAATAATATCTAAAAAGATATTATACTTCTACATGAAGATAGCAATACTCTTTATGTCTAGTGATAGAGAGACTTGATAACCATTAAACCTAACGTGAATCTAATATTCTGATAGACGAATTTTGTTTTCATTGATTCTAAAGGTATCTTCATGTATTTGGGGCCTAAAAAAAAAAGAGTATACAGAATATGTCAAACTAGGTATTAACTTGTCAAAATGTGAAGATGAAATTGAAATTATCCATTTTACACGTGACTTAGCCAAAATGCCAAGTGCATTAGCCAGATGCCACTGAAGTTCTCTCCTTCTAAACTTCATAGACTTCTTGTGGGGGACCACTGACTTGATGTCTTTATTGTGTCTCCCATCTCCAGGGGTTGGAAGTGCCTCTCCCTTGGGATACCATTTCTCTCTATCCAAAAAGATTCCTGCCCCATTGCTGTCTCTCTCAATACCTGCCACCTCCCCATACTTTCTGTAGCTCTTCTTCTCTATGGTCTTGGGGGCAGAATGTAACTTGGCCTCCCCTGTTTTCTTCCTCCTATCAAAACCTTAACTAGATGAAAATATTTTCTGATATTTTAATACACCAAGGTTTAAAACAATCAGAATCCCTTCATGGAAATGAAGAAGGAGAACTTGATCCCAAAGTGCACATTAGTGTTTTGTATCACACACATATACTTTATAAAAAGATAGGTCAGAATTCCAGTATGTCAAAAAAAAAAAAAAAAAAGAGTGCCAGAGGTAGACAAAGGCCTAAGAAGGATGGATTTGGGACTTGGAAACATGCACCTTCTGTTTTAGGTCATATAGAAAGATTTTTGGATTGTAGAAGTTGATAGTGGACAGATGTGTCTCTACAATTCTGAGTTTTTAAAAGAACCTCGAAACATCTGATGAGATTTCAGGAAATCTACATCTATCATCATGCAAGCTGGTTCAAGGAAAATGTTTTTTCTTTTTTCTCAAGGGTAAAGGAATGGGTGAATGGGAAAGCACTTAGTATATACTTTGGCATAAAGGTGCTGCACACAGTATACGCACTTCATCGGGCATTAAAATGTAGTATAGTAACTTTCTTTAAAGTGTACCTCTGTGATTGTCTGTGCAAGACCACACTAGCTTAACTAAGACAATAAGTGGTACATTTCCCCTGATTCATTTTAAGGCACATAGAAGTGAGTTCACTTGAAAGATTGGCTTTTCTTTTTGTTTGGGCTGCCTTTCCTCCCCATAGTTAACCCCTACAATTTATAGGAAAGCTTCTATACTTTTCCTCTTTATCCAAATTCAGAAAAATATACTGAAGGGCTTGCAGATAGAAACTGTTCTAGCACAATTCTACATCTATACAGCTTGGGTTATAGTGAATTGTGATGGATAACACAAGTTTCCTACCCCAAACTTGCAAGTTTTTATAGAATGAGATTGGATTTCATCTTTGAGTCTTAGTTTTTCCATTGTCAAGTCCTATATTCTACCTACTTTAAAAAACCAGTGTTAAGATCTCATGAGGTAATAAACATGGTCTAAAAGTTGAGAAAAGATCTACCACTGTAAGGTACTATATATTATGACTTTTATTGGCTGTCTCTTATGGAGTTGTCCAGGGAACCAGCAATGTTCCAAGAGATTAAGATCTCAACTTTGCATCTCAATGAAAAACAGTACTTCCAGCACAGCAATGCCTTCCTCCTAACATCTCTCCAGGGGAGGAAATGCCTTCTGCTTAATCATCAACATCAGTACTTCCTCCACTGAGAGCCATATCTGATGATGAATCACTCTGAAAACGATCTCGCTGCACCCCTTGTTAGGCTGAGAAAGTCTAAACTGGTCATAGCATTTGTCCAGAGGGGACTAAAAACAAAACTCAAGGTCCACAGAGAAATTAACTTTGCCAATATATATTTTCATGCTTTGTTTTCACTCTTTCCCTATCGAAAGTTGCTCAGCCTGTTTTATTACCCTACTCTTGCTCATTTATCCTCTTTCTGTATCATCATGAATAATTATCATTTCCTCATTTGTTCATTCATTCCATAAATAATTTGGTAGGGACCAGCTGTGTGGAAAACATTGAGTTAGGTGCTGGTAACATTGTGGTGTTCCCGATGGACACGATTTCTGTCCTCATAGGTATCATAATCTAGCTATGATATATATCATAATCATAATCTCATTGTATATCATAATCTAAAGTCAGGTGTAGGAGAGTATAAGTCTGAGAAAGAGAGAACCAGAAAGATCACCAAGAATGTGGACTCTTGAATCCAGGAAAGGAAATATTTGAAAAAACTTAATACACTATAGATGATCTCTATTGATCCAACTACTAGTCTGAGAACATCCAATACAGTTTAGGGGGTTAAACAGGCTTCTCAAAGGCAGAAATATCTAAATGCCCCATGAAAGAAAGACTAGGATTGACCTTGGTGACTCACTCCATCCATATTTTCATTTTTCGGTTGAGACTTCTCTCCTTCTTATTCCCAAGTACTAGTACTTTCAGCCCAATCCACCATCCTTGCTTGGCCATGAACAACTGGCATCTTAAAAGGCTATGATAACCACCATTTTGAGAATGATTGGTTGTAAAGCTGAATTTAAATGGTGTGGTTGTGTTTGGTTTGGTAGAGGAGAAGACTGATAATGTTGACAGAAGAACTCTTTAAGGAAATGCTACAATAAGTGACTGTAATACACTTCTGTTGTTTCCTCTTTGTCTCAATGAAACATTTCTGAGTAACCTCTTGAAGTTCTCCAGATCAGCTCATGCCCCATCATACCCTCACTTCTGACTCCCAAGAAGTGTTGAGAATATTCCAAAAATGTTAGTTTAAACTTCATTAGGAATAATTTAACCTCCTAAGATATACAATAAAAGCAATACACGTATTTTAACATGTCGATGATGTCTACTGCCGCACTAATCTGTGTAGTCAGTAAACATATCTCAGAGAAATATTTCCTCTGCTACCCTGCAAGCTGTTTAAAAGCTGCTTCCATTTTCAAGTATTTATATATGTGAATAAGTAATTGCTCAATTGTGTAGAAACAAGTGTTTCAATAAATTAAATTCTGAGGCTGATTTGAATGTTATCTGTGGCATTCAACTTTTGTATTTCTACTTTTTAAACAACTTCATTTTAAGTGAGTTAGTGATACATAATGGTTATGAATTGGAACTCACACAGTACAGCAATGATTTTACATATTGAGGTCTGTCACAAGGTTTGTGCTTTGAAACATGATTCTTTTCCTAAATATGTTTGAAGATTGTTGATCTAAGTTCTCGTCCCACTTCATTTCTCATACACAGTTACGATAACTTAGTAGAATTTGAACTTTCAACTTAAAAATACAATTCAAATAATAATGAGCTGCTGTTGTGAAACACACAGAGTGATTCCACCTCCCAGTGTTTCTTACAGAAGTAGCAATATTTTGCTTTTAAGGGTGACTTTGATGACTGCTATCTACTCCTTTCCTGCTACTTCAAAATATTACATATTTATGGGTATATATATGTGAATAATATAACATTGTATATATAATGTATATTATGTAGGTATATGTGATGACACAATTATATATGTATTTACATAGATTATATGTACATATGTAGTTACATATGATGTGTGTATATATACATACACATGCATGTGACATATTCTTTTAGGGTTCATGTGATTGAAGAAAATAGACAAGTAGCATACTATTATTTGGAATATGAAAACTTCACTGTTTTCAGGCTCAAATGTTTCAATTTGAATCCCTAAATTACACAATTTATACAACAATAATGCCATCAAGCAATTTAGAGGGTCAATATTTTCTCTTGGAATCAAGTTTAAAGATAGTGTGCAAAAAGGCATTATTTGTTTTGATGTAAAATCACAGAAACTTGAGATTTTACCTTTAAGGGGAAAAAAATAGAACAATAAAAGAGGAAAACCTGATTGGCATCGTTAAGTGTGTTAGAATTTTCATCACAACAAGACTTGCTAAATAACTAGTCACCACATCTGGTTGACCCACATCCAAAATACGCATCTCTCTTCCTCCTACCTTGTCAGGTCCATGACTTTGATTTTTCTGTTTTATTGCCTGGTACCTAGTTCTCAGTCCGACTTTGCTCTTTGAGACCTTAATGCAATTCGCTGTCATCAAAACCAAATTTATTCTGTGCTCAAATCTCTTAGGTAGATACTAATTTTGTCCTTCGGTAGTAGGTAAATACTTTTCATTCTCACAGAAACAATATTTGCAATATCGGCATTTTAACTCCAAGGAGTGGCTCAGGACTTAATGTGACTTTTGCTGTCTTTGACTTGAAAATAAAAGTCACTGACTCTCACTACGGTAAGGGATCAGGGAGGAGCAGCCACAAGACAGTTCTTAGATCAATTACTGCCATTTTTCATAGTACATTTTGAAAATATTCCTTGTTGTTTCCAAA